GGTCATACGCTACCCTACGTAGTGAGCAATGCGTGCTGTACAATAGTGGCCACGAGAAAGTTGTGTGCCGTATGGCGGCGTGATCTTGCCAAACTCGCACGCATCTCCCAGTCTCATTTTCACACCTAAGAATGAGTGTGATTATCCTATTCTGACATAGACCCACTTTGACATACGATCTGTCTGCCGGAAAGAACCCTAGTGGTAAGTCTGAGTTATACATGAGGTCTTTGAAGGCTGACTCACCCAAGCAGCGCGTTCTGTCGGCAGAGAGCGTGAATCCGGCCGGGCACACGCAGGTGTAGCTGCCAGGCGTGTTGGAGCACATCCCCCCATCACACAGGTGTGGAGCGGTCGCACACTCGTCCACATCTGTCAAGCGAAGCATGCCAGATAGCCGTCTGTCACATGGCCCCTCTGCAGCACTGAAGTCTTTTGTGAGAGGCTCCCACCTGAAGCCGTGGGTTTTACTTATTCAGCAGACACTTTATTACACATATTTCTTTGAGAAAGCTGGGTCAGACAGTCCCTGGAGCAACTGGGGTTTAAGGGTCATATTCAGGAAGTGAACAATAAAATGGCTCTGTTCTACCGTCGACCTCCTGATCCCAGACAGTGCTCTAACCCGTTGAGCCACACACCAGACCTGTTAGCGTGTTTTAGCTCACAGCCCATAAGTTCATAAGTAAAATTGTGGTGCAAGTGGTTAAATTTAATGGTCACCCATCCAAATGCCCCTTAGATGATTCAGTCTTGGCCTGACTGAGTATGTTATCATTTCACACAGGAAAGGTGCTGGGATAAGAAGATACACTCTCATTAGTGAGCTCATTAAAATGGATAAAGAGAGATGGTTATTTATCTTCGCGACCCCAATCCTGGCACGCTCTCTCTCTCTACTCGTTTTATTTTCACAACCTCACCACAACCTCATGTCTCTTCTTTGTTGCTTCATCCTGTGCAATAATGCCTGTCGCTGACGTTATCGTAACTCATTATATCTATATATAAACTTTGCATGGCAAACTAAATACTTCAGCTTGTTACAGTGTAGCTACTCCCATAGCAGAACAAGGCAGCTGAGAGCTTCACAGTTTTCTAAATGCTCCATTCGCCTGAACCTTAGTCATTTTCCCATCAACTTCATTGAAATGCACAGTGTAAGGCATCTCAAATAAATTCTAGGCACTCACACACCTAAAAAGAATTTGTGAAAGCAAAACATTTTATGTATAAAATCTTTTATATATATAACACTAGTTCCAAACGCTATACCTTGATATATATTTTTAATACTGTTACTAAAGGCTAGAGAGACTGATGTTTTCAATCAGTCTGTAAATCATTTAAACACAGCAATACGTCCAAGGAGAAAGAATGATTTAAAACACCAGGTAAGGTTCTGAAAGAGGAATGTGGCTCACACAGACTGCCTCAGTAAGACCCCAAGAGCCTGGAAGGTTCTACAAACATCTAATTTAATTGATTTAAGGTACATTTCCTATGACATCATACAGAGGCCTTCAGAATCGAGGTTGTCTAGGACAGCATTAAAAATATACAGTTGTAAAATAGATGTCAGTGAAAACTAATCTTAATGGCCCGCCTCTTTAAAATCTACTCAGAATGAAGTGCCCTTGAATTGATACATACTGTGTTAGCAACACTTCTGCCGTGACAAGGGCTGCTTTTAAAAAAATCAACTGCTGCCATGAAGTCATGTGACCATGCCTGTGACTTCCTGGTATGTAACGAATCTCCTCCTTTAATAACAGGTGTCAGTACCTCAGACACTTCCTGGGGCCCTTCTGCAGGCATCGAGCCAAAAAGCAAGGAACAAAAAAGCATATAAATATTTCAATGAACATTTCTTACTATCACTTAAGTTGGAACAGAATCAAACTGACTGCAGAGATTTAAAAAAAAAAAAACTTATATTCAATGATAATAACAGCCAAATTGCTGTTTGTCGTGGGATTCAAACCACTAAAATGCAAACAGATTGCAACTGCAAAGGTATGAATGTGAAAATGATATCAACATTATCAGCAGCATTATCACTTTGTAACAAGTTAACAGGTCAGTAAAGGGTGTTCATTTTTATAGAAGTTACCACAAACTTTTCCTTGTTCTCTATTGTTCTGGTTCTCTGAACCACAGATACAGTGACTGATATACACAAAATATAAAGGGGAAATAAACCAGCAGATTAAAGTTCTCAGTATTCAGGAGGATGAAGGTGGAGAGCCATTCTCCGCACTCACCCTCGCACTTGTGCGTGGCCTCGTTCTGCCGGTGCCCAGCGGGGCATCTGCACTCGTAGGAGCCCACCGTGTTGACGCACCTTCCCTTCTGGCACAGCACTGGCATGACCTGGCACTCGTCCACGTCTGGAAGACAAGGACGCCAGTTCAAGCAACGTGTCACCCTAAATGCATAAAAAACACACCACTGTAATCTGTAGCTGAAAAATCTGCCTGCACCACTTCTATGATTTTGTATTTGGTGTTTTGTATATCGGGGCGTGGTCAAGGAGAAAGGCAATGCCAGGTAACAAGCTAACTCATTCAGTTCATCCATCCATCTATCCTTTACCCACTTATCCTGGTGAGTTCACCTGCTTCGTATTCTCAGTCATTACACACAAGTCTGCCATTTATTTTTCAAACCCCGAAGCCCAGCCTGTCTAGCCCTTTCCATAAATCCACGCTCTTCCCCTGCTGGTACCAAAATGGGCGCCTTTTCACTCGTTCCTGCTGCTTTTGTCAAAACACAACAAAACCCTAACCCTAACCCTAACCCATCTCCACACCTCTTCCCTTATACACTCCTATTCCCCAGCCAGGATCAAGTCTTACAGACCTGCATGGCATGTTGTTTTGGTATCCTGTCTTCAGAACCAGACAGAATGAAATCGTCCATGTGGATTAACTTGAGGATTAATCTCCAGGTAGGCTTCATTACCCCCCCCCCCCCCCCCCGAGGATATCCTTTCTATCAGACATGCCGCAGAAAGCCGTGAAGAATGTGTATCATCTCAGATCAAAGCCACTAGGACATGCAGAGTTATACCCATTTATAAAGCCCACATGGGTACTTAAAAAGAATGAATCAGGGCTGTATACAGGGGTGGGGGCATAGCAGCATTGAAGGCTGATTGGTCCCTGGAGTGCTCCTCCTTCCTGTCATTCACCGATTTAAAACATATCATTGGCTAATGATAAGGCTGCCCCCTCCATATGAATTATGGTTGCTTTTATGTCCCCCACCTTAAATAATCCAAGAATCGCCCCTAAAATGGATATAATAAAATGATATAAAAAAGATACCAATCACACATTTGTATATACACTGTATAAAGTCCAGCTAGACAAATTATTTCCTAATAATAATAATTATAATAATAATAATAATAAAATTATAGCCTGTTTTGATAATATTATGACATTGTAAGAATATCCTTATTCATCACCTCATTAGGCCTCTGTACCATGATGAGAAGGTTGCCAGTTCAAATCCCTTGCTTGGCAGCAGCCACATGTCCACTAGGCCATTGAACAAAGTTCATAACCACGCCCCCCCCCCCCCCCCAAACAAAGAAATGTTCTAGGAGTGCTGCATGGACACCTGACCTTATACTCAGACCCCATTCTACCTAATATTTATGAGGTGCAAGGCTTATAATGTGATGTTATTTCAGTCTGAGGTAGCGAATCATCCTGGTTTATTCTTGCAGTGGTCATCCAGTTTTTAACCTGCATCAAGTGAGCTGGATGATTTTTTCTTTACTCCTCCAAATATCGGGAGTGACTGCCATTTTTGTTTTGCGAGTTTATGTTGTATGCTGTTGTTTGAATAGGGAGTAAGGTGTAGAATTTGTCGTTGTGTTTTTGTTTTCTCTGCACTTAGGTAAGTTAGCTTTGGGTTGCGTTCGGAAGCTGAGTTTTGTTTTCGCTATAGTCACTCTTAAGTCCTTTTTTACCGGGTTTATTTGTTCTGTGTCCGTGGCGTGTCAAAAAAAAACAGAAAAATATTTTAAAAATACCCCTTTGTCCACGTGTGTTCCCTTGTCCATCGCACCCTGTCCTTCCCTTACTCCACGTCCCCTTTCCCTTTCACTCTTATGCCCAAACCCTAGACTGGGGCTCATAACAACAGCTGCTGTTTGTGTAAAATGAATTTGCGCATGCGGGTGCCTTGAGCTGCCCGGTAGAGGGAGGTGCCCGTATATCAGAGGTCCCGATAAGGGAGGTTTGACTGTACTTTAATATCATCGCCTTTATTCAGGATGTTTTTCAGAGTTGCCTGCACATTTTTTTGGTTTCCTCTCCCCAAAGCGTAAACCCTTCAGGGGCGCCCCCCCCCCCCCATGGTGAGGTCGACTTCCCCGTTACCTAATCGGCCCTCTCTGGGGGACACGAAAACTAAAAATCCCATCAGCTCGGGCCCGAAAAGGACATCCACCGCAGCATCCGCTGAAACAGAGGAGGCATTCATGTCCATGTAATATCTGCCGCAGCCCCCCCCCCCCCCAAAACTACTGCCACGGGACCACGTCTAAGAACCTGCCGGTCGCGACGGGGCGAGGAAAGCGCCGACTTGGCGGGGAGGTGTCAGCTCATCCCTGAAGGTGGGGAACGGGAAGAGGATGGAGGAGGCGTGGAGCAGGAGCGAGTGCCAACCCTGAGGAGGCAACAAGGGGGTGTTTCATTCCCCCCAAGAGCCAGAAAGGTGAGCTCATACCGAAAGGATGGAATCCTGTCTCCGGGCGGGATACGAGGAATATTAGGGAGAGGGAGATGGTACAGCGGGCACACGGAAGTCCAAGGCGGATCTCTCTTAAAGCGCTGTGCCACTGAAAGGTCATCAACCATTTTCACCAGCAGCTAATTGAAAAACATCAGGGCTGTACAAGATGGTGGCAGCTTATAGAGGAGCTCTGTATGTGTAGTTAAACATGTGCAATGTGTACAATGAAAAATTTGCACCAGTACTGTATGTTGACACCATTTCATAGAATTGTGGGATAAACAGTCTCTTATTCTTTCTGTATGTTCTGACATGCAAAATTTGAGTCTAAATCACTTTGTGATTTAAAAAGTGATTTGTCAGTTTGGTGATTGTGCTGTCAATTAAAGCAAAATACCTCCCCAATGCTGCTCATAAGGGCTGGTGATGGATCAAAGGGAGTGGGCAAGGGGGCGGCTATTGGGGTAACGGCCAATAGGGTTGTATGATTCCAGTTTATAGAGGACCATGCTTTCTGGGTTCAAGGGTGGGGGGTAGGGTTCATATTTTTCCGATCATCAAACGAGATCCATGATAACAGGCGTACTGAAGGATAGCGAAGAACAGCCCTTAATTCATCGGTTATCACTGGGAATGTCCGACATCAATAAAATATAAAGACTGGTCCTCACACCAGGACCGAATACCAGCCTAGAAACACTCACAGAGGCCAGCCAGCGTTGCATTATTTCCTGTCAGTCTCTAAGACACGGTATTTCACTCTCAACAAAATGCGTCCTGCAGCTTTGGTGCAATTAGCTCTGCTGTCAACAGGTGCCACTTTATAATATTTACTGTCGTTTGGGGGGTCATTAAAAATCAGGCCCAAACAACGCAGCTAAAACCATTTCCTGGAGCTGGATGTATGTCAACCTGTGTTATTTACTATATATTGTTCTTTATTGTGATATGTTGTTTAAGTCTGGGAGACACGTAAACAATTATTTAATTGCACTTCTACAAATGACAACTGTACAACTTTCGAATCCTGCAAACCCTACCTGCAAACACATGAATGTACAGCTGTGGTGACACGCTCCCTTGGCAGCAACAGAGGACTGCAGTTTGTTAAATAAAACAGCGACATGTACACACACACACACACACACACACACACACACATAGCTGCTGGAAACGGCACATTCGATCGCCACAGCTGGCTCCTTCCCTCGCCTGCATTTAGACCTGCAGTCTGTAAACAAATGCCGTCTGAGACAAAGACACCCCTGAGGGACCATGTGACGTGACCTTTATAACGGCCTCGCTTACCTTTGCATTTCCCCCCACCGCACATCTGCTACGGTCATCACAAGACTGGCAATAAAATCTTTCAATTTAAAAAATGCTCCTGGAGTTGGAACATGACTTAAATCTGGCCTTATTATGTCTGTATTATGTGCTAAGCAACCCCAGTGATGCCCATCTCAAAAGCACTGGAAAAAAACATCCCGGTAACACTTTACTTAAAGCACTCTTGTATAATGCATTATCAATATCTTCATAATGCATTATAATGCATTCATAAAGTATTATAAACCCAGCTATAACTATTTATAAAAATGCATAACACATTATAGCCATGTTTATTAAGCATTATAAATATTCCATGAAGCTTTCATCTATAATGCACTATAGGCACCTTCAAGATGCATTATAATGGCTTATACTGCATTATGAAGGTGAAAGATACATCCTGATATTGCCTGGGTTCACAGGGTGTTTCAGCTCTCACAACATCATACACCCTGGCCCAGGTGCATTGTGGATGAGAGCTTTATAGAAGATTCATAATGCATAATAAACATGGCTATAATGTGTTATGCCTTTTTGCTTCTGAGCCACTTTCATTCCCCTGTCCAGCTGGTGACCTGCATCTGACCCCCCACTGTACTGCACTGCACATTTCTCAAATTCCACTTCTGCACTTCACTAATATACCTTTTAGTAGGTTTATTTACATATTTATCCACATTGCATATAGTGATTACTTCACTGCAAACTCATTGCTATATCTCTACCAATGGAATTAGCGACGGTGAGGGTGGGGCTCACCCTGGCAGGCTCCAGTGCGGGCGCTGGCGACGAGGCCGCGGCGGCAGGGCTGCGGCTGGGCGGGGCACATCTCGCAGGGATGGCCCCAGGCCCGGCCCACGGTGGCACAGCACAGCGACTTGGTGCACATGATGCCGCTCACCTGGCCCTGGCACATCTGGTTGGTGACCTGCAAGAAGCAGGGCCCCGTCCTGTAGTCTGGGAGATGGAAACGTCGTGTCAGAGGGCCACGTGTTTATCCCTAAAATGTATTTCTATATAAAGCTTGCTTCCCCACTCCTGGCCCTGTGTGTGAGGAGCTTGCATGGCTTTCACGTTTTCCCTCACATTTTCGGTGGCGACACGGATTTCCTCACACAGTGTGGTTTACACGGCTCAGGGTCTCTGATTGGCCCTTGGCATGTGACCGTATGTGAGCGTGTGCCCTGTGATCAGTGGGCATCCCACCCCAGGGTATCCCCTGCCCTGTGTCGGGGACAGACTCCAGGGTCTATGTAATCCAGCACTGAACAGGCTGGATATGGACGATGGTTGTAAGGATAACATATTTATTTACATAAGGAAAACAAGGTTAAGTAGACTAAACAATATTTGAAAGTACCAGTTCCAACACCTGAGAATAAGTCTTTTTAAGCACCATTGAAATCACCACTATTAATGTTGTCTAAGTATTTTAAAAACCTACTTCAATAAAAAACAAACCTACAATACACTAAATAAAGTTGATTTGATTTAACACAATTGTATGCCGTATTGAATACGTAATATGGGAAATGAACAAGAAATTCACATTCATATCAAACAAATTAACTGATCTCCACATAAAACACTTTTCATAATCATGGCAAAATGAAAGGACTTAAAATAAGGGACTTAATTCTCTGGCTGGATTTTCCTTTGATAGTACATTTTATGGGGCATTTTTGCAAAGCAAATTTATTTTATAGTTTAACTTAATTACACAATCGTTTGGATTCCCGCACTCCAGTTTTAAAATATCAGCGATACAACAGCAGTAGAAATAAACTATTTATTTTAGGTTTGTCTAAACAAAAAAAAAATAGTCCATTGTATTTCCACATGAACCTAAATGTTATTAATAATATGTTGGGTATATTATATCATTATTCACTAAATTATATGTCGGTCTGCATGCATAAATAGCTTAATGTTTTATGAATAAACTCGAGAATTATTATTTATGTAGCCCTTATGGATTAAAGTCACAAATGGACATGAGGCTCAGTCCAAACAAAAGCTTCCATTGACCTTGGGGCTCCCATCGCAAGAATGCACACGGTTTAAAATTTATGTCAGTAAACACGGTAACCTAATATTACAAACGCTGGCATGCCGACTTGTAGTTCTTGTAGCTCTCGCCGATATAACAACTAAGTAAAGCAGAGGATTAAGTATTGTTTTAGGGATTATGTCAGATGTTGGTTTTCTGCACGATAAACAGTTTAGTTTGGTCCAGCTGAAATGTAAACAGTATAAAAATGGGATTAAAAAAATTTAAACAGTCACAAGAGACCTTACACAGGCAGGTAAACACAAATACGACTATTTCTCCAAACTGAGTTTCTTCAATTTGCACATTTCTTTACAGAAGATTAAATTAGTAGTAGTAATTTCCACAATGTGCTGCCAGTCTTTATTTACATTGTCTACCTGGTGCAAACTAACGCAGAAAAGTTTAATGGTCCCTGCTTAACTTCAAATTGTTTCACTCTTGGATGACGTGTGAAATAATCTTCTAAACATTTACAAAGATAACGCGCAAATGGGTTTCATGGCCCAATGCGGGATGGGAGGCATCTGTCACACCAAAAACACAGTCTAAACAAATACTTCATTGTAGCTGGTAAACAATGTTACAATGTTACGATGTTACAATGCTAACTGGTCCAAAATCATATATGGGGAGGCATGACAAATTATTGCTTAGTGATGCCTCACACCTCCAAGGGAGTGGGTTCAGCTCTTGTATCTGTGGGCACGGAGTTTGCGCTCCTTCCATTGTTCATGCAGGTTTCCTCCCACACACATGCAGTGTACGTGGTATTGAAGATGAATGTGCATATATACTGTACTCAGTGGCCAGTGTATTAGGTACATCAGGTCCTTAACACAAACAGCCCGCTCCTTCAAACAGCCAATTATGAGTGAATCATGTAAATAGCAGACAAACCAGCCCAGTTTCTCTCCTATACCCTAGTGCACAGAAAAGATCTTTCTCGTAAAGTAACAGAAGGTCATCGTCATGTAGTAAATGAGCCTTAATCATATTATTTCTTTCTTAATGCTGACAATGTGGTCACAGTGATGATGAGCAACATTGAGGAGCTTTAGAAGAGGGTCTGGAAACCTGATATCCACTGCTGGCATGAGGAAAGTGTTACCATGTCTACCCCAAAAGGAGAAATTCATGTAGAGCCTCCAGGCTCCAACACACATGTACCCATACACAGAGACAGGCAGAGAATAATGGCGTGTCAGCAACAACAGGGCTGAAAAGCAGGTTTCTACCCTTTTTGTGAAACTCGCGGTCTCTCTTGTGCAAAGACACTAGCAGGAAAGCATGGATACACGCAATGCATTGCTGGTGAGTCTGGGAAAGCTTCAAATTTGTCTTTGATTCCAAACCAATTAGCAATTTAGAAGATAAACAATCTTCATCACAAAATATGGTATGTAATCTAAAACATCAGTACTTAAATCCTTAAAAATACCATGTGGCCAGGTTACCAAATTTTTGTAATGAAAAATGTAAATCATCATGATCAAAGTTCAGACTCATACTATTCCTAAAATGCTGAGAAAATTACCAGCTCATTGTGGGCTTGTCCTCACTGAGTTCTATGCCAGTGGGAAGCAGCAAGCAACAAATGGTCTTTACTCGTGATCACCTGCACCAATTGGATAACGTCATACGCTATAATTGATCCACAATGACTTTGAATAATCTTCCAGTCTATCAAATTTTGAACCATGTGTGTCTGTGAATGGAAATTTATAAAGGAATGTATTGTATCTGCCAACCACATGAAATGATGGTACAGAGGACTGGCGTTCTATTGGTGTGATAAAGTCTTGCGCCTCAATCCTAACAGGCCACCATAAGAAGAGTTCACCGCCGCGTCAACAAATTTTTATAAACTAGATTATCATTTTAATTTAATCTGTGTGCTTTTCATATGGAGAAACCATTATAATACTAATGAAATTTTCATCTTCTCGGGCTAAGGTTTCCATTGCTGGAGAGACAGGCTGTGGTCAGTCAATGGATTTCATTTCAAACTTTTTTTCTGACTTCTTTGCCAAGGTTAGTTCTAATTTGCCTGCAGGATTTATGTTCCTCTCTCCCAAATTACTGCACTATTAAGGGTTGTACCTGTAATGAGTGGCCTGAAGGCAGCACTGGCTAATCCTTAAGGTTCATCTTACAAACAAGGATATTTTCTTGTACCTCAAGGCTTACCCAACTGTATGAAATAGGAAAACAGGAAAGACAGGCATTCTGGCTAGAAGGCCCTTTGTCAAAGCTGAGGGTCCAGGGTCTAAAGATCGTCTGTATTGAATCCATGATAATTCACCGAAGGGTGCTGGAACAACCTGTCAATCGTGGGTTAACATAACTGCTTATGCACCCTATTGTAAATGTCAACATAAAAGCTACACATTTAATTAGCTCCGTAAACAATAGCACAAGTTCTTCTCATCATCAGACAGATTTCCACAGGGATTTGTGAGATCAAAACTGTCAAAATGGCCAGGTCCATCTGTATCAGGCTGTAAGGCAGCATTCATGAGTCAAAAGCCAAACACTCCTTTTAACTGACACTTTAATTGCTGTTTGGACATAAGGAGAAATTGATGTATTAATACATGAAGCTAGATTGTTTCAAAGATGTGGTTTGTTAAATAAACTTTCCTTGGGACATTGAACAATTTCCAAAAAAGCAGACAAATAGATTTCAAAAGCTTTACTCCCACGTTGGCTTTAATAAGATTTAATCCCCACATTTTAGGTGCGATGGCGATGTTTGTGAAAATGACTTCCATTGGATGACATGACCCACACGAGTCTAAATCTATGCAAGTTCTGAGCTACTTTTAAACCAGCAACTTAATCAACCATCTGATTTATCACTGTTCGATGAAATCAATGCAAATTCCAGAACAAAAGCTAAACCTTAGCGGCTGTCTGCAGGCCCAGCTGAGTCCCTGCGCAGGCATCCGGTCAATGCTGCAAGCACAATGGCCTTTTTGTTTGTTCGTAAACTGTGCCACATATCTGCGCATTCTCAGTGCAGCCTCCTCACGGATGCATCCCATAACGGCCCGGACGCGCATGGTGTCCAGGTTCACATTCCGCTTCCCTCAAACTACACCCACATTGTCCAGCAGTTGCTCATTACCCACAATATTACTGATAATTGATCTTGGAGGTATTTTTAAGGCAACAATTAAACCGACTGGAATAAGCTTTACTGTGGCTCACTTACCAGCCCTTGGCAAGGAGAGGGAATTAATTACGTTTCAAGAGACTCTTGAAACCTGTTGACCAGCTCTCATACTCTCATTTGAAAGGTTTAGAAGGTTCATAATCCCAGGCAATATTATGGGATATTCTTCAATGAACTTTGAATGTTTTATTGATGGGAAGAATCAAGGAATGTCTTGATTTACTTACAATACTGAGACAAGCCACAGTATTTCATGTATGAAAAATTGTATATATTCTGCAACTATGTGAAAACAACACCATTTATTCATTTTCAGGTTTCAAGCCATTGCCAACTTAACACACACCAAACATATGCAAGCAATTCAGCTTGTCCTAAGAGATCAGTCAGCATTCTTAATATCTGATTTCTCGCCCTTGAAATGAGTTACATGGAATGACCCTATACTAGCTTTCCAGTAAGATGGTTTAACTGTAAACAAAAACATTTTCCTAATAGCAACATTGAGAGTTTTATTCGTTTTCCATGTGTCTCCATCCAGAAAGACAAGAAAACAACAGTAAACACGTCCATGATTTAACAAAATCCAGCTACAGCATTAGCGACAAAGAAGCTACCAGTTTTGCGTCGTCTGTATTATGTACAGCTTAATCAAAAGCACAAGTTCTTAATAGTCTTCCTCCAATGGGTTTCATGCCCCAGTTCACCTCTGGCACGCTGCCGTCTTGAGCGTTACTCACTTTTTCCAAGCTGATACACGACGTATTCCTGAGAATTCTATGAGTGTAACAGTAACGTAATTCTTTACGTCCCAAGTCTTGGTCCTAAGTTTGCTGACAACAGAGTGGAAATGAGTGTACGGGAATGGCCAGTCCGAGCCTCCGTTTCCTACTGCAGCCCAAGCCCCTCCGTGGTCCATTCCAGCTAAACCGTAAACGGCACATGTGCTCCTCATTACTCTGAATTACACTCACAATTTCTGCCAGCAGAGGTATGTTCACAGCCACCTACAGGAGCATCTCAGGAACCAAGGACCTCTTGGCTAAATATCAGAATAATACTAGTAAATAATGCTACAAATAAAGAGTATGTTGGGTCACTACATGCTCCTAATCCCACAAGACCTCCAGGTAAACTTTCAGAGCATATTTTGCATGTGCATTTTATGGTATGGGACTCTATGGGTTCAAACACTGTGTTTACACTTAGGCCACTGGTTTGTGCCCTTTGGTCAGCAGAGTGATTTCATCATTTGAGCTCTTGAACAAGGCCCTTAACCCTAAATGCTGCGAGGATAGGTTGTCCCTGCTTACCAAACTGTAAATTTCCTTGGATATAAATGCCTAATGTACTTCAAGTACATTACATTATGCATGCCAGCCACCTGCTCAGACGTATGACTGACTTAATACTTTGAGTAAAGTGACAATAATTAATAATCTGACAACATAAGCAGTCATATGGTTACTGATTACTTTATGAAGAATTTGAATTCATAAAGAAATTCACAGTGCCAGACTGGCTAGTCATAAAAGTCATTAAATTCTTCCCAGTAACTCATCAGTAGTCCCCACAAGCAACTAATCATTTTTTAAGAAATCTTTCTTCACTGTCCGTTTTGTTAGGATTTTCCCTGTGTTAGTAACCAGGTTGTGATTCACAGCCTCCTTATCCCAACCCATTTGCCCTCACAGCCTTTTGTTGCTGGTCTGCTCCAAAATAATGTTGATGTTTTGCTCTAGAAACATTACAGTGTCACAAATGGATTTTTGGAGAAGAGGGGGAAGGGATGAAGAGTCTAACTACATGTACTTATTTGTTACACCTATCCCTAGTGGCCCCACAGGTAATTTGAACAGTGTAGAGTGAGTGCCTGACTATTCAGTCCTGCCAAACTGGCTCTTCTACATTTATTAAATTTCTGTATTTTTAGCTGTCCTAAAAAGGGGAAGCAGCTGAATACCAGCCTGGTTTTGAGTTTGGGTCTGGTTCTGATCTGTCTGTGTCACGTGGTTTGGTTTAGTTTGTCCTTGCAAGTACTCCAGAGAGTACATATGCTTATCCACATGGTGTCTGATCCTATCACCAACAGTAAACCCTAAAAGTTAATCTCCTGACATTGTGGTAGAAGTGTGATTAATGAATGGAGGGTATTATTGGCAGGTAGCAGAAACGACTTAACCACACTGCACCTCCATTGTGCAACAATGACCCTCGAGTGTTCCACAGGGATCAAAGCCCAGGACTCATCCATGGGTATCGCTTTCCGTAGCTAAAAATCTTTCATCCGACATACAGTGGAGAATGTGAACGTACGTCAGCATCCCATAAATCCAAAAACATCCAGGCCTGCTTGGGGGAGGACACTGGGGTACATGTGTAATTAATGAAAATTGCATCACACCACTGAGTTCCTAATTTCTGTGTTATGAACCTCCCTGTAACACTATACTGGATAAGAAGCTGAAAGATGGATGAATGGATGTATAGATAGATGGATGGAGCCTGAGCTGATTATTAGGGACCGATTCACGCATATTTGGTGTCACCGGGTTTCTGTAAAGACAGACTGATTCTTGAGGAAATGAGATGGAATTAATAAACAGAAATACACGGTGAATGTTCTGATTCAAATATACCATACATTGTGCAACCAGAGTTGTGCTGTATGCTTTGAGACAAACACTGAATACATAAACACTTATGAGATTAGACAGGGAATGACATTACTGGGCAACACGTTTATTTTCAATATGCTCTGACTCTGTTCTCAGTTAAACTAAACTTCACCTCTCCGATCCAACGTACGTGATGCCTGGAAACGGTCGATTATTCTGATCACAAACAGACACACGTGAAATGTATTAATTTGTTCATCATCTTATTTCAGTCTTGCAGTTCAAGCTGCAAAAAATTTAACCCAGACAAATAAACACCCGCCATTGTCAAAAAGCACAGAGGACTTCAGAATTTGTCTGAACACGGTGGGCGGTTTGAACTAGACGACTGGGGTAGATTTATAAAAAACAGGCCAGGGATTCAGAAAGAACAATCCACAGACTGTGGCTACTTTCACAGATGCAAAAGAAAACACCAGACTGCTTTTAAATTACACTCAGGCCGGACTGATTTAAACAGACCAGAATCAGCATAGACCACCGGCTACTTGGAAGTGCCAAAGAAGATGTTCTGCATGGTTCCTTGAGAATAATTCACCAGAGTGACTGCAGCTACCATAATGAAAAAAATAAAAATATATTATATAAAATATCCCAGCCCCAGTGTTCACAGTCCCTTAATACTGTGAACCAACACATCCTCTTTCTTAAATCACACAGACGAGACCGGCAGGGTGAGGGGGGCGCAGGTTCCTCTCCTGAAATAAGACTGCAGGAATATCTTCCAACAGCCACCCGTTGTGACAGAGAAAGTCATTCACAAAGCCAATGATGCTGGGCCAGTATCAAGTGGCCTCAGCATTTCAGTCAGCTCAGAGGGAGAACCAAAAAGGCATTCCTGCCCCCTCTGATTAAAGTGGATCCGATGACAGGCCGAGGGAGCAATGGGTACTTTTGGGTACGAGGGGGCGCCGCCCCGGAAAGCCTGTCGCCTGGGGACAGAACCAAGACGAGATTGGCAGGGAGGAAATCAGTGTGTCGGTGCAAGAGGGGGGAGCTGGCTGAAAAACGGAAGGAGGGACAAATATATCCGTAAAATGACAACAATATCTAGAATATAGGATCCCTTCCCGAAGTCATTACAGGACCTGCATGTCACCAGTCACACAGGATAGGTCACATCTGTCCTTCCTCAACATCCTCCCAAGCTGTGATGAAATCTCAGGTTCACCAACTATCATCTGTCAAGCAGATGTCTTAATGTATATCATGCACCAGGTTATTAAAAAAAAAAACTTCAGCTACATATACGATGTTGTCGTTGTTACTATTAATTAAATGGAAGCTGTATCACTTTACATCCTGTTCTCAAACATCTATAGCAGTCCACGGGAAGCCAGATCAAATCAACATACCGGAACCTGCTGAAAAGAAATACCTAAAAAAGCCTCTCGTGCATGTGGAGAACGTGCTGCGGTTCAACAGCCTGGTATCTGTTTAATAACTCAATTACTCTGCAGCCAAACCGAAACGGTCCAAGGCAATAAGAACGAAAGTATAAGTCAGACTCGTGGCAGGGATGCGTAACGGAATTACGAGTGGGGTGTTCCAACATTTTTTAATTACAAATACCGTGGGCACAGTGGGTGCACTTAACTCCTCACACAGCTAGGAGATAAGGAGGCGAGTGTGGTCATTTTTGTTTCCAGCCCTTACCGTCTGTCTACAGCAAGCATTACACCATGTTCCTAAAGAAACCGTATTTCAGGTGTTTATCCAAATTTGATGGGCAGATAATTACCCTAAACCTGAGTTCAACTTATTTCTGTGCTTTGTCCCGTCCTAAAAAACACGGTAAGTGGTGAGGTCACGTGGTCAGAGTGTGGTCAGAGTGCGGTCAGGGTGTGGTCAGAGTGTGGGTGGGGGCATTTCCCGCCCTACCTCTCTCGCAGTGGGGTCCCGTGAAGCCGTAGACGCAGGCACAGCGGTTTGGCCCGACGCAGCGGCCGCCATTGTGACAGGCCGTCTCGCACACAGCTGCAAAGAAAGAGGACAGCCAATCAGGGTCGGCAGTGAGGTCCACCTCGCCGCTATCAGCATCACGGCTCCTGAAGTATTCCCCGTGTGACGAGCCCAATGTAGATGACAGGAACCGTCGATAAGCTAATTAAGACAAGCCGAGGGAGCGGAACACTTAAGGTGATTTTGGCTGTGGGTGACACCATGTGCCACGGGGAGGCCTTGGAGGCCCACCAGGCTGAATCGGGTGTCTTCCAGCTGGTCAGGCAACCACACCATGTTTCCACACTGTGATCGCCACCCCTTCAAAGCACCCTGGCCTTGAGTTTCCCCTGTGTCCCTTAGCAAACTGCCCAGCCCCCCGCCCCGCTCCCACCACCTTCAAAGCAGGACTTCTCAGCATGTGGCTTTAACACCTGCTGGGCTCAGGTACAGCACCACCAGTGTCTCTTGCAGGTACTAAGATGACCAACCCTCCACTGACCAAATGGTTTCCAAACTCAGCTCTTTACCCTTACAGGCCACATTAGAGCAGATTGCAACTTCCAGAGAGTGGCTCTTCCTGTGTCTGGAAAGCAAAATACATCATGGAATTCCAATAAATGGATGTTGTGAATGGGGAGGCACGGTGTGACAGTGGTTAGCACAGTTGCCTCACACCTCTGGGACCTGGGTTGAAGTCCCCGCCATGGTTCCTTGTGTGTCGAGTTTGCATGTTCTCCCATGTTGTTGTGGGTTTTTTTTGGGTACTCCTGTCCCCAACCACACAGTCCAGAAAATTGGAGTAACCAAATTGCCTGTGCTTGTGTGTGAGTGTGCCCTGTGATGGGTTTGGTGCCCCATCCTAGGTTGTTCCCTGCCTTGCACCCATAAGCTCTTGCACACATGGGTTCTGTCCCTGAATAGGACAAGTGATCACAGAAAATAGATGGATGGAGTTTATGAAGATCCTCAGTCAAAAAGGAATTTCCCTAGAGAGACACAAACCGTCGATCAACCTAGGACCACCAACATGGACATCACAATAGATGGAGAGAGTTTAGGTACCTACAAAGCTCTCACTACTACAGGGGTATTCATCATCATGTTCCTGGAGAGCCAGACAGGAACTCAGGTGAACCAGTGTCAGCTTTCAGACCCTGCCACGCCAAGACAGGGCAACCAGGTTATGCACTGGAAGGGGCAGCGGCGAGGCTGACTCACACTGGGCGCAGAGGGCTCCGGTGTAGCCCTTCAGACACTGGCAGCGATCCTCAGTGCAGATTCCCCCGTTCATGCACTGGACTTTACACTGCAGGCCTGTGGGGCACATTCACACACAGAGAGCGGCTGTAACACCACGATAAACCGCCTTCACTAACCATCATCTGTCTGACCCTGATAAAAGCATTTCACTCATCAGAATGGCGGCATCAGGACACAACAATAGGGATATACAAATTGATACTGAAATATTGATTCTTTGTAACTGGATGATTTCATATTAAAAACTGCTTAACAGAAAAGTATCGACTTTACCTAGTAATTTACATATCCATATTACTGCAGGGAGCAGGACATGAACTGCTACCTCCATCCATGCGGGGGGAGAAACTGGGGGGTCCAGACACTAGGGAAATGGAATGATCTATCTGCCAGCACCCTTAGTCCCCCCAGGCTTGACAAAAAATATACACTCACCTAAAGGATTATTCGCCTTCAGAACTGCCTTAATTCTACGTGGCATTGATTCAACAAGGTGCTGAAAGCATTCTTTAGAAATGTTGGCCCATATTGATAGGATAGCATCTTGCAGTTGATGGAGATTTGTGGGATGCACATCCAGGGCACGAAGCTCCCGTTCTACCACATCCCAAAGATGCTCTATTGGGTTGAGATCTGGTGACTGTGGGGGCCATTTTAGTACAGTGAACTCATTGTCATGTTCAAGAAACCAATTTGAAATGATTCGAGCTTTGTGACATGGTGCATTATCCTGCTGGAAGTAGCCATCAGAGGATGGGTACATGGTGGCCATAAAGGGATGGACATGGTCAGAAACAATGCTCAGGTAGGCCGTAGCATTTAAACGATGCCCAATTGGCACTAAGGGGCCTAAAGTGTGCCAAGAAAACATCCCCCACACCATTACACCACCACCACCAGCCTGCACAGTGGTAACAAGGCATGATGGATCCATGTTCTCATTCTGTTTACGCCAAATTCTGACTCTACCATTTGAATGTCTCAACAGAAATCGAGACTCATCAGACCAGGCAACATTTTTCCAGTCTTCAACTGTCCAATTTTGGTGAGCTCGTGCAAATTGTAGCCTCTTTTTCCTATTTGTAGTGGAGATGAGTGGTACCCGGTGGGGTCTTCTGCTGTTGTAGCCCATCCGCCTCAAGGTTGTGCGTGTTGTGGCTTCACAAATGCTTTGCTGCATACCACGGTTGTAACGAGTGGTTATTTCAGTCAAAGTTGCTCTTCTATCAGTCGGCCCATTCTCCTCTGACCTCTAGCATCAACAAGGCATTTTCGCCCACAGGACTGCCGCATACTGGATGTTTTTCCCTTTGCACACCATTCTTTGTAAACCCTAGAAATGGTTGTGCGTGAAAATCCCAGTAACTGAGCAGATAGTGAAATACTCAGACCGGCCCGTCTGGCACCAACAACCATGCCACGCTCAAAATTGCTTAAATCACCTTTCTTTCCCATTCTGACATTCAGTTTGGAGTTCAGGAGATTGTCTTGACCAGGACCACACCCCTAAATGCATTGAAGCAACTGCCATGTGATTGGTTGATTAGATAATTGCATTAATGAGAAATTGAACAGGTGTTCCTAATAATCCTATAGGTGAGTGTATATATAATTGTTAGGGTTGGACCGGTGTTATGGTTTGTGTTGATCTTGTTAATTGGTGACAAGCACATTCACGATAAGGTTTAAGTATACTTGCAGTTGAATGGAAATGACAGATTCATCAATTTTGGAAAAACTAAAACAATTGTAAAAACAATAGGATTCCAGCACTGCATGCTTAGACCCCTAAATATTTGGAATTGCCCATGCACTTACTGCAGGTTACATAAAACATATACTTCAAGAACTTTCTTTTTTCATAAAGGATTCAGTTTTATATTCATAGGCTTCTGCATTACCTTATATACATATATATTACCTTAAGTGCATACATGTTTGTCATATTTTACAAATCTGTGGGACAAGTCCTTTTCTTCATTAGCGTCATACTTCTTATTTTTTTGGTTCTCCAAGCTTGATTAATCTGCTTCTGTGTTCTGCAAAAATAAATTTATGTTCCATTTCCCGAGTGTCCAGACCCCTCCCCCCCTTATGGATGGAGGCAGTAGAACATGTTCTGCTCTAGTGATGCGCGGGTCGGGTATTTTTTCAACCCGCGGGTCCCGCTTTTATGAAATTATTTGGCCCGCCCCGCAAATAAAGTGACAATTTCTTTACCCATCCCAACCCGACCCGCGGGTTACCCGCGGGGTCCGCGGGTTACGAGACGACCCGCGCATCACTATTCTGCTCCCTGCAGTAATTTGAACATTTAAATTATCAGTATTATCTTAATGTCGGTATCAGCGACACCAACCATGGATGAAGCTGAAATCGGATCGAAAAGAAAACCACTGATATCCCATCCCAACACAAAAAGGTGACTAACAGCTAACATAGCATGCGATTTAACACGACGTTTGATTTAACCCGCATCTTTAACTACCAAAAGAAACATTCAAAAGTCTCCCGTTAAAACTACACCAAGGAAAATTAAATGAATAAATTAATTAATTCAATGCATTTAATAAATGTATTTATTATTTCCGTGACCCTGTCACGTTTGTTTTAATTACTCATTAGTAGCCTACCTTACTAACAATTACCAACAGTGGATATTATGCAGTTGTGCTGACTAACAACAATAAATCAATAAAAATGAGGAATTGCATACTTTCGGTTAAAGCTTGGCTGTCATGTGGCATTAACGGTAAGATGACGAACATTGTCGGTTATAACATGTCTGAGTCAGCCGCTTATTAGCCTGGGGTACGGAGACGGGGGTAACCCACCGGATTTTGCCCCACACGTCGGCGCTATCTGCCCGTTGGAGCACGTGCACACATTCGGGCGAGAGCAAAATCCGTCGCCGCAACTGTGGCGACAAATCGCTGCAAATAAAAAGAAATACGGGTGAGAAGAAGGGATATGTGAGTCAACTACGTACTGTACGATGTGAACTCTACGGCTCACCACCTCCATCCTCCACGCGACAAAACAGACGAAAAAATGTGTATCTCGTGCTTTACGCGCGAGACCTGCATCGTTTTGGAGCGCATCCAGAGCGCGCGGTAATTTACGAGTTAGGGAGTCTCTGGTGGTTCCACCTCGAGCTCCACAGCGCTGCAGGGGGCCCGGGGAATATTTCATATCGCTGCTTCCAGTGCTTTTTCAGACTCGGTTGCAAGCTTAGCTAGGCATCACAACTTATACTGGCACGCCAAAAGTGCAGATTAATTGACATGGACCAGTGATTAACGGTTTGAGACGTACGTCAATAGTCATAATCCATCATTTCAGCAGCAGGACAAAAGCCGACGTACCACCACGCCTGTGCACTTAGGCCGCGACTGTCACCCGACTCACCGGGCAGCTGCCTTCACTCAGACCCACGGCCTGAGCGTGTTTTTATACCCTGTAAGATTAAACAAGCCTGGGGGGCCTCATCTGTTTCGACCAACACGAAGCATCTATTTCATATAAACAGCAATTCATTAGATACGTCAAATATTAGCTAATAAAATGCTCGGCCTGATTTATATACCAATGCAATCAAGAGTTTAGAGAGGAAAAGCATAGGATTTTTCATCTTTAGTTTTGCCCCAGCTAGGCAAATAGATGCTCGGTGAATATATTTTAATCACTTTATATGAAACTCTTCCACAGTAAGGACTGGTGCCCACTGGCGGTGATCTAACATTTTCCTCAACAGAGCGGCGCTCTCCTGCCAGAATCTGTCAGTATACTTACGCACGATGCACTGGTTGCCTCCTGGCAGCGTTTTCCATCCCGGGCAGCAATAAGAATGAAACCGCGATCCGCACACGTTTGGCCTGCATGGCAGTTAGGGAAACATACGGTTGTTATTTGATGACATTCATACACAAAGGACTAGCGGCAGACCTCATTTCGAAAACGGTAATTAAAAAAACGAATGGTTTTATGAGGGGTTAACCATGCAAAATTGGCCAAATGCAAATGCCATACTTACGTTAGGAAGTAAGATCCAGGAAAGCCACAATCGGAAACATATAAGAAACTGTGTTAATTAAAGCCTGATTGGATAGCGTGGTGGTGTATTAACAGCCCCCTAAAACTAGCGGATAAACATTTTTTCTTCGTACGCATGATCCAGCCTTGCTGGAGTAAAAATTGGTGCTGAATTATTTCGAAACAGCAAAAGACCGAAAGCATCTAAGACGCCCGCTAAACACGAGAAACTATGTGATTAATTGTGAGGAAGCATATTCGGTCGGCGTTGATCCATCATTTTTGCAATACAGAGGAAACGCTAGATGTCTTTGTAAACAGGTTTGTGAATTCATTCCACATGTGACCTGGCAAGAGTATTCGTTAGCTCTGGCTTCCACCTTTAATTTTGCATTTTTGTAGCAGCCAATTATAGTATTTTAGATGATTCAGATGAATAAGCTACACACCAATCATACAGCCAAACAAAACACCCGAAGAGGTCTGATGCTCGGGACTTAGACCATATGATTAAACTTTAACAATAATTCCCCGACGAAATACTGTACAGTGTACGCTGCTAAAGTTACGTTTGAGAAAGCCAATGGATACATTTAGATCTGATGTTGTTTCATTAATACATGACTACATTAAAAAGCAAAAATGATGGATAGTTACTTTTTTCAAATTTTAGACTGCTTAATCTGTGTTATATTCAGGCTAATTATTTTCTCACGCTTCAAAGTTTTTTTTTTTCTTCAAAAAGGAAAGTAATGTTGCATAACAGTAAACGGCAACATATACACGGCGGTAGGTTTTAACTTTTTTAGGCTACCTGAACAAATACGTGATTTGGGTGATAAACATCTGATATGCTTGGCTCTTTATTAAACACCGCTCGCAGCAGAAATGAGAAGAAATAAATGTTTGTGGGGATGTTTCATCAGGTAGACAAAGCAAGAGGCACAAATAAAATTGCGGTCCCCTTACCCTCTCAGATCCTCCTGCCGTCCGCGTCTCCGCACTCTGCCCGAAGCGCCTTGCGACCCCTCATTCGCCTGGTTTACCGGAATCTGTCCCGCAGCATTTTCTACAAAAACTCCTGAAAACATCGTGTATGCAACCAAGCAATGAAAAATCCATGTGGCCATCCTGAGAAGGCTTCCAGTGAACAGCTTCCTCTGTTCACCTTTCTTAGATTAATTTATATATATATATATATATATATATTTATCCCTGGAAAACAAGCTTCACAGTTTGTCAAAAGCAGTGCATTTTGCGAAGGCTGAGTCTACAATCGGAATTCCCCAATTTTGAAAAAAATATAACTGCATACATCAAAGACATAAATATTTACGGAAACGGAACTTTCATTCCCTGCAGGAATTAAAGGACTCCGCTGTCATCGTAAACAGCAGAGAACCAATGGAGTGATTAAGTGGCTTGACGAAGCACCCCAAGGTCGGACGGAATTAAATACAGAGAGAGAAAAAGCAGAAGGGAGCAGCGCAGGAGAGCCGCGCACAGACGCGCTCCGAGCCTCTGCTGCCAGTCAGTGGCCGCAAATCAAATTCTCCGCTACACACGTGTATGGTTCCGGCGAGGAAAGGGGACGGGTTACGGGATTATCCGGCCCGTTATTACCGTACAGCCCCTAGGCGACGGCCCGCACACATCTGCGGCCGGCTTTCAGCTCGTGTACTTCCAGGGGGATGCAGCGACGCTGTCCCGGTTTAATCTCTTATAAACACCAATCTACCTGCTGCCTCGAGGGTTTACTGAGAGTTTTACGGTTCAACATTGCGTTGCACTGGTTCCAATTACATAAAATTAAACGATTAGTTCCTAATTTACATTAATGATATTGACACCAATAGCCTACATACAGTAAACTGGTTAAATTTGCAGACGACACCAAGATGGGTGGTGTAGCAGATACTAAACTAGCAGCACAGAGGCTACAACGGGATTTTGATTTAATTAGCCACTGGGCTGATACCTGGCAGATGAAATCTAACATAGATAAATGTAAGGTATAATCCATGCAGGGAGCAGAAATATAAAGTACAGATATTTTATGAGTTCTACTGAAATAAAGGTAGCTGATTACGAGAAAGATCTCGGTTTGTATGTTGATGCTTCCATGTCCCACTCTCGCCATTATGGGTAAGCAATAAAAAAGGCCAATAGGATGTTGGGTAACTTCTCTAGGTGTGTGGAGTTTAAGTCAAGGGAGGTGATGCTACACTTATATAATTCCTTGCTAAGACCCCACCTAGAATATTGTGTGCAGGTTTGGTCACCATACCTTAAGAAGGACATTGCGCGCCATGGAAAGGGTGCAACATAGGGCTACAAGAATGATTGCTGGTCTTAGAGGAATGTCTTATGAGGAGAGGTTAGCTGAGCTGAATCTGTTTAGCCTTGAGCAAAGAAGACTAAATGGGGACATGATCCAGGTCTATAAGATTCTAACAGGTCTGGATGCTTTTCAGCCAAATGGCTACTTCAATATTAGTCTAAATACTAGAACTCGTGGCTATAAGTGGAAATTAGAGGGAGAACATTTTAAAAAGAATTTGAGGAAGCACTTCTTTACACAGCGTGTAGTTAGAGTATGGAATAGTCTTCCTGTTAGTCTAGCGCAAGCTAAAACTCTGGGTTCCTTTAAATCAGAGCTAGATAAGATTTTAACAACTCTGAGCTATTAGTTAAGTTCTCCCCAAACGAGCTTGATGGGGTGAATGACCTCCTCTCGTTTGTAAATTTCTTATGTTCCTATGTTTTGCATGTTTTCTTTTTCCCACCAATTCTTCCGTCCATCGCTCTTCCATAGCTGTTTGTCCAGGAGACCGACACGGCTGTAGTGAATGCGGAGCAGGGGGCAGCCTGGTTAAGATTCCAGTTCATCGCATTGGGCTTGTTTACTTTTGAATTGTTACACAGGCTATGGTTCTGTTTCAGCATTATCAGGAAACTGAGCTGTACAGAGTATTTTCAAGGGGCAAGTGATCAGCTAGGAAAATTTGCCAATCAGGGCGGGGTCTCTTTGGTAAAATTAGCATAAATCACCTGTGCTCAAAAACTAGCACTTGGTAAAATTTGTCAACCGGAACAGGATCCCCTCATTTGCATGATCATCAGTGATGGACACTGGGCACTCGATACGATTTGCTGACCTGCGTGATCCCCATCGGTAAAATTCGAAAAGACGCAGGGTGAATATGGTTAAAATGGGACACTTTCTGAAAATTTGCTTTCTGGAAAAATCATCTCAGTGTGTTGAATCTCAATTTGATACCATTCTATATACATTATTGCCCGTTGAACACTATATAGAAGAGAAAATAAAGTATTACTGAACACATACACTCACCTAAAGGATTATTAGGAACACCTGTTGAATTTCTCATTAATGCAATTATCTAATCAACCAATCACATGGCAGTTGCTTCAATGCATTTAGGGGTGTGGTCCTGGTCAAGACAATCTCCTG